TAAATAAAACAGCAAGAATAAAACTGACAAGAACTCTCGAGGTCAAGAACCAAAATAACGGAACAAATAAAGCACCAAACTGCCAACCCCAACGACTCACAAACTACGGAGTAACAACCCCCAGCGGGCAAACCCAAGCACAAAATTTTTATGCCCAACACGAAGAAAAACCTCGACCACAGACCAACCATGACGAGCAAAACTTCTTGAAGTCGAGAACCAAAATAACGGAACAAATAAAGCACCAAACTGCCAACCCCAACGACTCACAAACTACGGAGTAATATAAGTTGGGTGATGGAAATAGCCTAGACCTCATTTTTTTTTCTAACTCTTAAAAAATGAGGTCTAGGCTATTTCCCATCTCCGCTTAACACAGAAGTGAGTTATTAATATAACTGCTTAATTTAAAGAATCAATTATTAAAATAGCCAAGAGTACCCTTTATATTTAATATTAAATTCTTCTATGTAACGTCTAATTATTATACACTAAATAGGGTCTACTACATTAGAAGGTAAAATCTTATATATGTATCCTCTCTCTTTTCCCATATAGGTAGCTGTATCCACTATAATTGAGTTTCATTTCAATCCTACTCTGAAGATGGTCCACAGAGGCCGAAACATGTAAGGGTGTTAAGTTTTTACGTAGTAAAAAACTTACAGGTCACATTGGACGGAGTGATTTATAATTTGTCAATCCTACTTATTATATTAAGGCCCTTTTTTCACTTTTTTTTCGACCAATTTTAGTCAAAAAAACGCAAATTAACAGAATAACCGTTTGAAGAAATTTTCAATTGACATATATCATAAACACGCAAATTAACGGGGTTTCGCTTAAAAAAAAATCTTAACCGCAAAAACTTCACCAAAAAACACAAAAATTCACACCCATTTCAATCAATAATAGTGAAAAAAACAACAAGATAAAGAAAAAATAATACACCAAGACCAACAAAAACACCCAACAACAAACCCGTCCCAGTAAGATTAAAAAATACATTAAATAACAAGAAATGCAGAGCCTGAGTAAAGGATTATTGTGATAGGGTAAAACATGTAAGACAATTACCTGCATTAAAGCCAAACCAACTATACCTGACAGAATTAAACTGACACCAAGAGCATCAAAAGCCCCTGTGCACCATACACCAAAATATATATATAGAGGGGGTACAAAAAAAAAATGTACTCACTCTTTGATAGTCAATATCTTTGGAACAAAATGACATGTAGTTACATTTCTTGGGCGGAGAGAGTCATTGTATGTGTTCGAAGTGACCACCATCAGCGGTTAAACAGCGTCGATGCCGCCGAACTGCTGAGCGAACTACGGCTGTCAGTGTCTCCGGTGTGATGGATGCACATGACACTTCGATGGTTTCTCGTAGCGCGTTCAGTGTATCTGGCTTTTGTCGATAAACTTCATCCTTCAAGGTTCCCCACTGGTAGAAGTCGAGAGGTGTTAGTTCTGGAGACTGTGGTGGGTAATCAATAGCACCTCTTCGACCTATCCATCATCCAGTTCGTGTCATCCAAGTACGCCCTGACATCTTGATCATAGTGAGGTGGAGCACCATCTTGTTGTGGGTAAAATCTCTCATCTCCAAACAGTTCTCGAATGACAGGGAAAATCGATGTCTGAAGCATATCGAGATACACCACAGCACTAGAAGCTGGACTTGTTACTATCCGTGGTCTCCCAGATCTTTCCTTATGCACATCATGAACAGTACAATCGGCTTCAAATTTATCCCGAATACGAGCAATAGTTCGACGTGTTGGTGGCTGAGTTCCAAACTCATTCTGCCATTGTCGTTGTACCACTTTAATGTTTTCGTACTTCTAGTACCACTTCGATACAGCCTTTCGTTGCTCAAAAAACAACCTTTCAGCCATTGTTGCTGCTGTCTCCTGCTCACAGCTCCTGCTCCCAGGAAGCCCAACAGTATAACACACGCAGTCGCAGGAGCACGACACAACAAAAGCACAACACACAAGATAGTGAAGGAGTGCTCCAACAAAGGAGAATGGGCGTGACTGACGTAGTGAGGGGCGACGTAGCGATGTGGTATCCTGAACAATTTTAATATTTTTAACGTTTGACAATGTATATGATAGATACATATTTTAGTTATTTTAATGTGTGAACATGGCATGCAATGAACTGGTTTGACGTGGATAAGTAAGCACCTGAAGATGGCATTATTATGCCGAAACATGTAGTGCGAGGGAGAGAAGGAAATAAATGAGTGTATGCACTGCAAGACGGATTAAATAAATCATG